CCACTAGGATTCCAAGGTCCCTCTCACAGTTACTGTTTTTGAGCCAGGTCTTGCCCAATCTGTACTTGTACCTTTGATTTTTTCCTGTCTAAATATAAAACTTTGCTTTTCTCCACATTAAAATTCACATTTAAACATCACATTTAAACTTCTTAAAGGCCAATTACAATGACAGTTTCTAGCTATTTTTTAATCTATCCATCTACATTCTGGATGAATCTTAAAATTCTTCTTTTGTTTATTTTTGTACCATAGTTTTGATAATACTGAACAGAATTCTGAGTAATTGTGCATAGACTTCTTCTGTTTTCTGTGTTTCTATTAGTTTACTCATTCATTATGTTTAGTTTTTGCCTTTCCTCCAAAAGAAATCCAAGAATATTTACATGAAAATCTTAACTTTGTCCACACAGTAGCAGCCCTGTGGGGTAGTTGGGGTGACTGACCCAAAGCCACCCTGTGACTTCCATGGTTAAGGGGAGATTTGACCTTAGGTCATACCTTAATGACTTCACCACACTGGTTTTCAGACCTCCTATCCTATCTTCTCCCCCTCCCTGTCCCTCCTGTGAGTCAGAGTGAAAGCAGAAGCTGGTGAATATTACATAGGGTGAAGCCAAGCAGAGCCAGAAGAGCTATTTAAAACTTATCTTGGTTTTGCAGTTCTCCTTATCTTTTAAGCAGCCCCCTTTGCTGTGATGAAGATCTTGTGATATAAAGGAACTTCCTAAAGGGGAAAAGCTGGTAAATTGTTGACCTGTAACACTGGTGATTGTACTTTTTATAATAAATAACACGAGGAGAGTCATTTAGCTCAATCAGAATAGAGCTGGAAGGACCTTGGAGGTCTTCTAGTCCAACTCCCTGCTCAAGCAGGAGACCCTATACAATTTGAGACAAGTGGCTGCCCAGTCTCTTCTTAAAAAACTCCAGTGATGAAACACACACAACTTCTGAAGGCAAGCTGTTCCACTTACTAATTGTTCTCAGTGATAGGAGGTTTTTCCTTAATTCCAGGTTGCTTCTCTCCTTGATTAGTTTCCATTCATAGTTTCTTGTCTTGCCTTCTGGTGCTTTGGAAAATAAGTTGACCCCTGCTTCTTTGTGGCAGTCCCTCAAATACTGGAATACTGCTATCATGACACCCCTGGTCCTTTTCTCTAGAGTAGTCATACCTAGTTCCTGCAACCATTCTTCATACATACAAAGGTCTCCTGGCCTTTGATCATTTTAGTTGCTCTTCTCTGCACTTTTTCCAAAGTCTCAACATCTTTTTTGTAATGTGACCAAAACTGGATGCAATATTCCAGGTGTGGCCTTACTAAGGCTTTATAAAGCGATACTAATGCTTTGCGTGATTTTGATTCTATGCCTCTGTTTATATAACCAAGGATTATATTAGCTTTTTTGGCTGCTTGCTGTCCATTCCTTTTCACTACACACCATGCAACAATAAAAGAGCAATTGTGATTGTAGCAGTGAAAGGAAAATATATTTTTCCTGAAAATTTACTGGATTGTTAATTCTGATAATTTTAAAGATAATTTAAAGCACTGTTTATTCTGTTAGCAATTAAAGCATTAACCTTTTATGGTTGATAGCTACTTTTGATTCACAATATAGTTTTATAGATTGAAACAAAAATGAATAACAAATTATGAGAATAGTTGTGTGAGCAATAAGCAGAATTCTTACAAGAATGACAGAGATTTTATTTTATATAAAAAAATGAAGGGAAACAGTTTTTATGTAAATATCTAATGAATACTACAGTAATCCAGGAAAGTTTAAGTTGCATCAAAAATGAAGGCAAATGATTTTTCCCCTTTCTTTCGGTGCAATGAAGTGCACCTCCCTATGGCAATGCTTCATAAGCTGAACTGGTTACCGATTGATTTCTGTGTGTAATACAAGATGGTGGTTATTAAGCCCTTCATGGCATAAAGCTGTTTTAGGGACAGCTTGTTTCCAAATGTTTCTACTTGTCAGATAAGGTTAGGTTAAGCTGGGATGCTTTGGGTTCCAGTGATTAAACAATGTCATTTATTGGGACCCAGAAAGCGTGCCTTTTTTTGATGTGGTGCCCTCCCAATGACATTCAAGAAACTATTAAAAGTTTTGTTGTTCTCCCGGTCTTGGGATAGGATGGTTGTGGAATCCCTATGATTTTAATTATTTTGGTTATTGAGCTAACTTTCTGGTTGGTTATGCTTTCTTCTATTTTTTTTTTCTCTTTTAATTTAAGCTGCCCAGAGTTGTTAAGGTGTTGGGTGGACTCCAAATCAAATGAAATAAAAAATAAATACGTAATAATAAAATATTCTGCATCTACTACCAGTTAGAGCCATTCCTGGATTAAGTTATCATAAGAGAAGAGAAAAAAGCTTTTCTTCCATATCACATAAAATGTTATGCATTCTATCCCGTCTCTCGTCTTAATTGTTTTTTAAGCTGAAAAATCCCCCTCGTAAGCCTCTCTTTATGGGGAGCTACTCTTGCCCTTAATTATTTGTGCAATCCCTTTTTTCCAATTATATAAGTTATATATAGCACCATTTTAAGGACAATGATTAATACTGTATACAGTGTAGAATTCAAAGATTGGTTATACTATAAGAGATTATAGCATTGGCCATTTTATACCCCTTAAAATTTGTCAACACAAAAGATTGGGCATCCGTGTAGAATCTTTAGATGATCTTGTTCAGGTAGTGTTTAGTTTTTTACAAGCCTTAATTATTTTGAGAGACATTGGGTTGTAGAAAGAAGTTAATGGAAAAGATCAAAAGGGATTATATAAATTATGTGGGATAGTTTTTTGAAGTAAAGCACATTTTCTTTTTCTTGCAATATCTGAACAAGGTTGTTCGGCCTGTGAATAAACCCTTTATTCTTTTATATGGTAGTTGCTATGTATTGCCTGTGTTATGACAGCAAGAAGTATGACAGCTTAATCAGCCCTGATAGGGTTTGTAAACTCTTCACAATCTATGACTGAAGAAGGCAGCTTGTGAAAGAGCTGAAGCACTTTAAGGACATCAGCTTCACCAGCGGGGTGTAAACTCTTGGATGGATATTTAGGAATCCAGATAAACAGCTGCATTCATTCTTAGAAGTGCTGAACAGGTCTGAAAAATCCATGAGGAAGCTTATCCATTGTAGGAATTTTCTTACTACAAATTATGATTGCCACCCCTAAATCTTAAACATTCTCCAAACACTTTCTCAGGCCAGTACAAGTAATGACTGTGGAGTCTGAGAGTAAGGAGGGCTTATAAACTATTACATTAGAGAGCATTAGTAAGGGAAAAGTTGGTGCAAGGCATATGATGATTTAGCATAATTAGAAAACTCATGAGACATATCCTGAATGACAAATCCAATTGCTTACTCAGAATGCTAGAAATTGTCTGAATGCTACATATAGACGTTATACGTATAGAAAAAGTATGAGAAAGCAGTTTCTATCTCAAACACCATCTCTCCTGTGAACTTGCTAAACCATTGAGTCTCATCCTCTATCACTCATCTATCACATGAGCATAATAATCTAAACTTTTTAAATGTTAAATTTAACTCTGAAATATCCTACTTTGATAGGCAAACACTGACTGCAATATGAAGCAAATTATTAGAGAGAAGATAATTAGCAACTTGTTCTGTGTCATCTCCCTTTCTGGATTTTTTTAAAAAGAATTTCCTAATATATCATCTTATTCTTTTTTCATGGGCCTCTTTAGTTCCATGCTAGAGTTTTTGGTCACCTGCCCAAAGATGATACAGAAAAAAAAAATAGTTGGAAATTTTTATTCCCTTCATGACATATATTACATAGAGGGAAGTAAGATCGTTACTTAACTCTGATCTGAAATTCTTTTTTTCTCTTCCTCTTAAAGTAATTAAGGAGGGTTATAGTTTTGCGGGGGGGGATTGGATTAGCCCCAGAGAATCAAGTTCACTCTCAGTCACAGAAATTCCTTGGGTGGCTGGGCCACTCACTCTCTTCAAGCCCAGCCTACCTCGCAAGCCCAGCCTACCTCGCAAGATTGGGGAAAAATTGAAGGAAATGCTATGTATACTCTCCTGAACTCGTTGACAAAAAACAAATATATATGTAACAAGTACAATTTCTTACAAGAGGAACAAAGACAGTGGTGGGATTCAGATATCTGAACAACCGGTTTTCTGTGTGGATGCCGCTTCCGGAAGTCCATTCTAGGTCTGGGCAACAAAAAATTAGCTACCAGTGCAAACCGGCTGAATCCCACCACTGAACAAAGATAATAGTAAATGAAAAGTATGTGTAATTTAAAAAGCAAAAAAAATTTAGCAAGTTATGGAAGAGAAATTTTTGGAAGAGAAATTTATTCAAAGCTGTTTTTGCACCAGCATTTGCACATTTTAGATTTTTATGAAGCTGCTTGTAACTTGAAAAGTACACACAGAAATGCATGCTGCTTATGCACAAAACCTCTCATTAATATTAATGAACAGTCACTTGCTTAAAGACTACAAGCTTGAAAATGAAAAACATATGATCAAGCATATGTACATATTTTTGTATTTATTACTGTTTTACCTTTTTTCTCCTTAATATTGCAAACTGATGCAACAAAGGCTCAGGAAAGTGAGAAGAGGAACAAAAGTGTTGTTATATTTTAACATTTGGGAAATATTAGTGAAAACAAATTGTAATTTGTTGTGGATAGTTGATATCAATTTCAAAAGCAATAGCTTCCTTCAGCTTGCTAATTGAGAGTTCTGGGAATTGGAGATTAACACATCCAGAGCTGAGAAGTCTGAATTAGATGTAAAAAAAAAAAAAAAGATAGGCAAAATAACAGGTTGTAAGTCCCCTATTCTACTAGATTGATTATAGATGGTTCTTAATGTTGAGAGATTTGCTGCACTTAGATCAGTTTTAATGACTTGTGCAAGTGATTGAAAGCTAGCATTTAATGCTGAATCCCTGAGTCTCAACCCTTCTACTTTCTTCTTAGGGCTTTAGGTATTTTTAACAAACTTTGACACATCCCAAATATCAGCTATGGCATCTCGCATTGGTTTACGGATGCAGCTTATGCGAGAGCAAGTACAACAAGAGGAACAACGGGAGCGCATTCAGCAGCAGTCAGTGATGCATTACATGCAGCAACAGCAACAAATGCCAGTGGCTCCAACCCCAGCCATCAACACTCCAGTTCATTTCCAATCACCACCACCTGTGCCAGGAGAAGTTTTAAAGGTACAGTCGCATGAGTAAAACTTTGGTTACAGAGAACGATAGAGGCAAATAGAATATTTGTTAAAACTGTTACGTTGCAAGAAATGAATGGCTTGCTGGCTTGCTTGTTTATTATTTATTTATTTATTAAATTTATATGCCTCCCCTCTTACTATCAAGTGAGTCTTGGCAGCTTACCAATATATCTGATATATCAGTTGGAAAAATACATTGAAAACCAGCAAGTCCTTTCATTTGAATTGAGCATTTGTGTATGTTTAAATGGTGAAAGGGGGAGAGAATCTATGCAGAGTTTTTCTTTCAAATGGTTTTACTTTAGTATCCAAAACCGCTCAGAAAAACACAAGTGATTATCTGCTAATCAACTATATTTTTCCAATTGAGTTATTGGATTCCTATAGTTTTTCTTTAATCGTCCTACAAATTTTATCCTTTGCTATAGTTTTGTAAAGTTTGAAGTGGCTTCATCATTACAAGGCAATTTATTATCAATTTTCTATGTACAATTGACTTTATTTAGTGCTGGGATGATGTAGTCCAGTAATTTTTTGTGTGTCATGAGATTTATCCTTCAAAAGTGGGTGAATTCCTTTAGTTTAGTTTGGCTTCTTATAGGTAGTTCTTGTCTTATGACTATAATTGGGCCTGGAATTACAGTCATTAGTCATTGCAGTTATCGGTCGAGATTAAATCGTGTCTGATTTAGAGTTACAGTCATTTTTTTACAACAATTGTTTAGCAAACGCTGTGGCTGTTAAATGAATCAATTTTCCCTAATGGGTATTTTTTAATTGGAAACCAGACATAAATCCCAGAAACCAGCAAAAGAGTTGCAAATTGTGATCACATCATTGAGGGATGTTGCAAACATCCATAAAAATAAGCTGGTTGCCAAGCACACACAATGCAATCTCGTGACCAGGGGTATGCAGCCATCATAATTCTGAAAGTGGGTTGTAAGTAGCTTTTGGGATGGTCCATGTAATTTCAAATGGTTGTTAAGCGTCTGATCATAAATCATAAATTCTTTCTGACCCTGAAATGTGTTTGGTTTTTTAGGGTGGGATATCAGGGATCTTATAGTTATATAAGCAATATAGGTCTCTGACCTCTTGCAATCTGCAATCTGTATATGATATATAATATGAAAAATCAAGATAAGGAGAAATGAGGCCGAGTGCTATTTTAACAGCTTTAAAAGTGACTCATAGCCAATTAGACGCTTATTAGAGGATGATAACAAAGATTTGTGACATTCATTTGTATAGCTGGGCTCACAGTCATTCATTCCTCAATTACCTCCCAACTCTACATGGGGCTGTCCTTGAAGAGCATTTGGAAGCTTCAGTTGGTATAAAATGTGACTATGTGTGCAGTTATGAATGCTGGTTGTTCAGCACATGTGACACCTCTGCCCTGTGAGCTGCATTGCCTACCAGTATGCTTCCAGGTGTAATTCAAGGTACTGATGGTTACCCTAAAAGCTCTTTGTGATTTGGGAATAGACTATTTATGGGGCCATCTCTTCCCAATGATGCCTATCCATCCTGTTAGATCCCTACAAGAGAGACATGTTCTGGGACTCATGTGTGAGAGAGTAACCTTTTGTGTCATAGTACCTGCCTTGGAACTACTCCGCTCCAGAAATCAAACTTTTGAGACAGTGAAAATCTGGCACTTCCATCAGGTCTGGGGCCCTGATATTATGGATAGCTCATTTTGTGGAGGTTTTTTTTTTTTTTTTTTTTAGTATGAACCCAGCCTATTTCTTTCTGAAGACGTATATATTTGAAAATTATGTTTACCTTTACATGATAGCTCTTCTATTTCTCCAATATTTTTTAGGTTCAGTCCTTCTTAGAAAATCCTACTACATACCATCTGCAAAGGTCACGAGACAAGAAGGTCCAAGACTATCTGTCTGAAACTTATGGGAACAAGTTTGCACCGCTACTTGGTGCTCCTTCTCCCAAGCCTCCTCCTTCAGCCTCCCCTGGGGTGAGACCATGTCATGTCATGTCCTCTTCTGCAGGCAACAGCACTCCGAACAGTCCAATGGCAATGCTTAATATCAGCTCCAATCCAGAGAGAGAGGTTTGTAAGTTCCTTGGGAACGCAGGAATTGTTGGAGAGGCTGGGATAAACTGTGGTTAGGAAGTACTCAACTCCTGTAATCTGAAGTGGAAAAGTCCAGCTGTAATTGAATCACATGATTCTCTGATTATGTAACATAGGTTGGGGGGGGGGCTACACAATGAAAGGCAATGTTTTGCATCACACTTCTGTTGCAGGAAACTATCAGAGAGAACTTGGAGTTTGGGTGATTCAGCTGAAGGCTTAGTCAGATAAAGTTGCTCAAACAACAACAAATCTACTCTGATTTGGACCCTGACTTAGCAAGTCCGTCAGAGATGTCTGGGGTCTGTTCTTATGGGGTGAGCAGCCCTGAGTCAGTTGGAATCAAGTGTCATCTATTCAAATCAATCAATCATTCAGTCAATCAGTGTCAAACTTACATTTCCCATGTCTGTGAATTTACATACATTTTGAAAAAAAAAAACCCAAAATGCATTAAAAAAAATCTATATCTGATAGCCTTTTTGGCCCTATTTTAGATAGATGATGTCATTGAAGATATTATGCAGCTGACAACCACTGTCGGGTGTCTTAATCCAGAAATTCATATGTCCAATACTGTGAGTATACTTCTTTTTTTTTTTTAAAGGAGTTCTTGTTTCTAGGCAGGGAAGTGGTCATGGGAGAAGGAATAAAACAACTGAAATAAAGTGGTTGCATCTATCCTTCCTTTCTTTCCAAATAATTAATTTGGAGTCACTGTTTTGTAGGAGACCAATAGTAATATTTAGCAAACATTTTAAAAAAGTAAAACTTATTTTTAAATGGTGAGATCTAACATTGTTAAATTAATCATATACAGTATAAATATTTGAGCCATCTGCATATAATGAATGGGAGATCCATGGTTGGGAAGAGTGGTGAAGTGCTAAAAGCACAGGATATTCCTGTTGGGAATCAGACCTTCTGTTGGCTGATACTTTCTTATCCTCTATTTTCTGTGTTAAAATAAATGTGCATTTGTCTTCCTCCCTTTGTTTTCCAGTTGCCTCTATCCAGCAGCCATATGAATGTCTATAACAGTGACCTCCAGATGACGCCTTCTATGGTGGGCATTACCAGCAGTTCCTGTCCTGCTGATCTCACTCAAAAGAGAGAGCTTACAGGTAACATGGGAGATTGTGTGGTGGCCAGTGTGTATATGTCCAAATGGTCAGGGTAATTTTTAGTAATTTGCTTTGCCTCAGACTGTAGGTCAGCAGTGCATCTATTTATACACTTGCATGCATATGTGTATAAAATGAAACTTGTTCTGGTTGGCCCGTTGCTTTTCATAACAGCTTGTTGTGTTATCTTTAGATGCCGAGAGTCGTGCCTTGGCTAAGGAACGCCAGAAGAAGGATAATCATAATCTCAGTAAGTGGAGGCTGGTTAAAACCATGTGGTTGAAATGCATTCTGCTATATTTCATTAGCCCTTTTGTTGATCTAATTTGTGTGCAATGATTTAGAAACAGTATTTTTATGCACAAGCATGCGTATTCTCCATTTATTATTCTGATGCAGAGAATGTAGCTACACTCAATGGTCATTGAATGCACGTGGAGATGATTTACTACCCTCTGGGTCTCTTGTGATTTTACCCTCCGCAGAACCATGTTTTCATACATATAACTATTTTTATCATTTGATTTGTTTCACTATCTGATTGATTCATAGATTTCCTCCCCCCCCTTAAAATGTCCTTTTTGGTTTTGTTTTTCTTCAGGGGAGGAGAGCAGAGGGCTGTTTTCATGTAATGTACAAATTCATGTAATTGTACTGCCGTGGTCAGGAAAAAATATAATTACCTATAGTTTTATTAAATTTAATTTAAAAAAAACATCCTCTTCTTTAGGAATAATACGATTACAAATTGTGGAAAATAGTAAAAAAACAAAAAACCAAATGCTGTAGTATATTGCTGTCCTTGGATTAAATGAAGAACCCTTCCTTTCTTTTCTGGGCATGTGTGGTGAAATGACCTTACCTCTGCTGTGATACCTTATTATATTACCAGCTGGTAATAAAAGATTACAGCAAAAATCCTACTTGGTTTTTCTTTAGAAGAAAAATCTCTGGCTGTTTATTATGATGCTTTTATAATGTTTGATATTTACAAAGTTACCAGAAGACCAGAAATGATCACAGTTAGCAAAGACATTTTAGTCAGGATGCAGATAAACTATTTTACACAGATATCCAGAAAGGTATATTATGTATTTCAAGCCACTTCCATTCCTTTTGCTAACACTTGGTCTTCCCCTACCCCATTCGCTTTCTCTCCCCTATTATATCAAACCCCCCTTTTTTTTGTATTGGAGTTGATGTCCGTACAGTTAGAGATACATGCACCTATACATTGCTACATCCTCGTTATACTTACATACACGAACATGCAGACCTCATCTTATCTGTTGATGTGCATCCAAATGAGCACAGAGAACAGAGAACTATTTATTGGCCAAGTGTGAGTCAACACCCTAATAGGGTGCACCCTTAATGAGTATTAGAACCAAGGAGCATTGTAGTTCTGTTACTCGTATGATTCTTAGTATGCTGCTTGCTTCTTTTTAAGCTTTTGTTTGTTCTTTCTCTAATTAGATTAACACATGAAACATTTTGATTATTCTAACAGGATGTTAAAGCTTTTGTTAGCAAACATTTTGTTTTAAAACTGTAATTGAACAGAGAACTCAGGGTAGATAGCTAGAAATCAGTTGACACATGGTGTTTATAAATAATAATAGTAGTAGTAGTAGTAGTAATAATAATGATAGTAATAGTAGTAGTAGTAGTAGGAGTAGTATGAGTAGTAGTAGTAGTTGTTGGAAGGGACCTTGGAGGTCTTCTAGTCCAACCCTGTCTCAGGCAGGAAACACTATACCATTTCAGACAAATGGTTTATCTTTACATCTGTAATTCTTTTGCAGACATATTACAGAGCCTGATTTAATGCTCTGTTGTGGGAAAGTCAACATGGTGGAAACAACCTCACTTAAGCATGACTTTTATTAGAGAACTACTGAAAGACAGATTTGAGTTGATTCTTAATGTTAAACATGTCCTGAGGAGCACAATGCTGGTATCACTCAGAAGCTTTCATTATATTTAAATGTAGTATAAAAAATCTAAGTTGTTTGTAAATGGTAATTTAACTTTTCCCATTTAATCATAAAAATATACAGTTATTTCTGCATATTGTTAAAAGCATAAACTTAATGTTTTTATCTCAATGTGTAAATTATTCTTAATGCTAAGTTTTTAAAACTACAAACATGAATTATTTTAAAAGAGAATCCTGTATTGTATTAGAATATACAGAAAATGCCTCATTTGGAACGATGTCTATCATAAAAACATCATATAAACATGTATTCTGGTACCTACCCAGAAGTTCAATCAACTCTGATAACTGAAATACAAAGTAAAATACATGAAACAGCATAAATCATTAAACACAATGGCTTATCAAAAATAGAGACTAAATAGATTAAAAATAGAGATGGACAACAGAATGCAGTGTGCATATTAATGTTTAAATACTTCTTGAATCAATACAGAAAGGAGACAGATTAGATTGTTGGATTGGAATGAGATCTTCAATTTTTGATTAAATATTGTTCAAAGAGCTAGAGAGTTTTGAGAGAAATTTAAAACAAACTTGCAAGAGGCTCAAAATGAAATGATGGAGAAAATTGATAAAAAAACTGATTAAAAATAAATATGTGAAAGATGTTGAAAAAGTGGCTGCTACAGGCATAGACTTTTCTAAGTTATTTGATTAATCGTGGAATATAGATGCTTAACATGGAATGTAAATGGGGCAAATTCCTCCCCCCAATTAAAATTTAATTATTTGGAAAAAAATAAAACAACTCAAAATTTGCATAATCCACATTAGAAACAAAGATGTTATTACAGACTATTTTATAGGTGTGAAAAATATGTACTAATAAGCAACAAGATTTTATTAGGAAGTCTGATCGAAATTAGTGCTATTTATCCAGCATAAGTGCTTTATCAGGAGATATTTGATATAAGCCTAGCCACCATGATTTGAACCCATGGCAATTTCTGTATTGCCTTGCAGCCTCATAGGAAGCTCAATGCAGTAATGTACAAGACTTTGATTATAATATCCAGATAAGAGCTGTCTAACAAAGGACAGAAATGTGTGAGCATCCAGATGGATTGACTGTTGTTCCTGTATTAGGTTAATGAGCAAAAGGAGGGAATTTGGGAGAAACTGGGGTAATGCAAAAGGAGGAACTTAGAACTTTCTAAGGGTGTTAATCAGTATAGGCCCAGCCCTTCAAACCAGAGCTGTTTTTCTGCTATTGGTTGTCCATTGCTCAGATATTTTATATCTTCCTTAAAATAAGCAATATCTGGTTATTTATTTCACCATTTTATATTTGTTTTTTATTGACAAAGTTGATATTTTTTATAATGTTTAATATCTCATATAGGATTTTTTCTCTCTCTTTCTGTTCTAAGTTGAAAGAAGACGCAGATTCAACATTAATGATCGTATTAAGGAATTAGGGATGCTGATTCCAAAAGCTAGTGATCTGTAAGTTCTATTCAATGGTTTATATTTTCCTGTTGCCTCTTAAAGAGAGACAAGAGTCCAAATCGAGAAATAGACAACCAGAGCAAAAGTTGGATGGGAAATTATTTTCCCATGTCTGCTGTGTTGAAAACTATATTTTATTTCTGTCTTTAAAAACCACAAACGCACCAAACAACTTTAAATTTCAAATGAAAAATATTCCAAATCAAAGGAAACTCTGCATAATGACATGAATGTAACATAAGCACAGTAGCTTGCTTTGGTCCCATTTGACAAATTGCAGAAGATTATTTAAAATATCTAGAAAAAGATATATACGGTAGCTATTTTACAACTTCAATTATTAATTGTTTTAAAAGTAAAATATATTATAAACAATAGGAAATTTATTTTTTCTGAAGATTAAATATAGTATTTATCAATCGCTGAAAGCAGAAGAGAGGCGGGAGCAGGGTTGGTTCGGGGTTCCACAGTGGGGTCAAAAAGTCAAGAGGGGTCTGTAAGCTTGCCAAAAAACCCCGCAAACCCTGCGTTTCAAGTATATGTTGCATGCTTTAATCGTGTTGTGTTGGCCACCATCTTAACTGCTTTTTTTATTGTCCCCATCAATACCTCTGGGGGTAATATAAATGGGAAGGCTGACCTTCCACCCTGCATCTACTCTTTCTTCCAGGAAAAAAATCACTGCAACATCCTGTTTCTAAAGCAGTTTTACTCCAATAGGCTCTGTACTGAATAGCTGTAGTTGGAGAGAAACAAAATGCACAAGAAAAGCCATTTTGAAGTACACCACAGATATGGCCCTCATGCCTGCACACATTGTGATTTGATTTTTTTTTTTTTCATTTTATAGTGTGAGAAAGGCTTCACAGGTATAAGCCTGCATTTGCACTGAGTGTAGATAGAATGAGTTCTGAGTAACAGTGCTGTAAAATGCCAAAATAGCACCAAGGGAGCAAGGCCATATAAGAATAGCACCAGAAAGGAGCTCCAGTGTTGTGCTCCCTTAAATAGCCATTGGCTGAGCGAGGAGTGAAAGCTATTCCTTCATACTTCACACACCAGAGCTCTTTGCTATGGAAAGCTTATAAACAAACTAACACAACAGCCTACATTCAGATTTCAACAAGTGGGTTTGGTTAAAGATAGCATGTGATCAAGATGACACCTCGTATGAGTTTTAGATAAAAGGAACATTAGTCCTATCACGTATTAGCTTTATGAAACAACTTCTGTTTAATTTCTTCAATATAATATAATATAATATTATACTCAAAATCTGGACTATAATCTTTGAAATTTATGTGCTCCTCTGAATGGGATTTGTTTATCTGTCAGGACTGACTTTTGAAAATAGACTATCAAGCTTTAATAGGCAGTTGCAATGGCTATTTTTAGATTTTTAAATATGTATAAAACAAAGGACTGATTGCTGCAGTGAAGTAAACCACCTAATTTTGCACTATTTATGTGACATGATCCTGTTTTGATCTGGATGGATTGTGGCTGCCAGCTGCCAACCCCTAATGTTTGTAGCCAGAATGAGGAACTGTGATTACAAAAATGCACACTGGTTGGGAACCCTGGAGTTGTAATCCCAACACATCTGGAGAGGCTGGCTCAGAAAGAGTGTTTCTGAGCAAGGACCTGATAGCCACAAAAGAGTTGAATTAGTATTAATTGGTAATGTTGGAAAAGACATTTAAAAATTATCTGGCACTTTAGAAAAAGAAAGCCAAGTTGTAGTAGAAAAATAATGTAGTCTATAATGCTATGGCAAAACTTGCAAGTAGTACACACACCACTGATTGTAAATGAATGAATGAATGAATGCATTTTAAAAATGCTGAAATCTTGCAAGACTGTCATATTTTACAAAATATCCAGCTGCAACAGGCAATTTTTAAAATATATATTTTGATTTTAACTTCCACAATGCTATCTAGTTGCTTGTTAATATCATGCAAGACATAGCTGCTTCATCTCTTCAGTATGTTCTGATGGAGAAAAAAATTGTTCTGTCACTTATATAAACATGCAATATGGCTGATTGTTGGCACAGCTTAATTTCTTCTGGAGATGTCAATGCTATGACATTGTTTTATTGATTCCTATGAGTTCCGTATGACATCTACCGTATGAATTGTATTATAATTGGATACTTTTTTTGGTACCAGTCTTGCTATGCTTTGTGTTCTGAGAGATTGCTTCATCCAGACAAGCTGATAAAGCAGCTTAAAAGCCCAGCAATTGGGAAGGTGGCACATCTGATCTAGAGAAGTCATATCATTTGGCCTTAGAAAGTGTAATAATTCTATACATTGTCTTAAATTATTGGCTGCTTTGTCCATTTGTTTGAAAATCCCAAACAAAAAATTAAACAGATTTTGAACAAGAGTTTTTCTAACTCTGGAAATAATCTTTTGGAATGACAACAGTTTCCCCCCCCCCCCATCTTTTTTCCAGAGATGTGCGCTGGAACAAAGGGACAATCCTGAAAGCCTCTGTTGATTATATCAGAAGGATGCAGAAAGATTTGCAGAGATCACGAGATCTTGAGAATCATTCTCGGCGTCTGGAAATGGCTAACAAGCAGCTTTGGCTTCGTATACAGGTGAACCCCGTGTCCTTTACTTATTCTGCCTACGGTATTTCTGTGTGCTTGTAGAAACTACTTTCTTTAATTATCTCACTGAAAATAATTAGCTTAATTCTACTTCTGTTTGGAAGTCTTGCATCATGTTGTCATGTTAGGGAAAAGCATAGAAGTGATTCATAATATGGGCTACAAAGCCAGCACTTACAGCGATAATCATTTCTGTGTGCTCATTGATGGAATTCAGTGATTGCCTGAAAGTCATCCATGTGTTCTTTTTCAACCCAACATTACTCTCACATGGTGATGTGGCATCCAAAAAGTTTTGAAAAGACATAGTTTTGTTGAAAAATGGTTTATGGAAATACTTCTTTTTCTTTTTCCATCCTGAACTTCAGGAGTGGGCAGACTCAGGGCTACAGGTGGTTCCAGGTGTCCTGTTTTCAGTTCCCCAGCATCTGATTTTGCTGCTAAAAAGTATGACCACTTTTGTTTTGTTTTAAAAAATAAAAGTGGAAATAGAAGTGAGATGTTCTGGAAGAAAAATTACTTTCAGCATACCCATCCCAAATAGTTTGAAATTGCACTGTTAAACTGTGCTCGTTTGATCATCAAATGGATAGAGATTGGGTGGAAGACTGGAAAACTGAATGGAAGACTGGAAATGGGACAGTTTGCCGATCAGAGTTAATATTAAAAATTAAGGAAAACACCAAAAAATGGCTGATAAGTATATCAGCTACTCCCCTTTTGGTGCTTTCATCTGTTGGGAAGTTAATTATGGCTTCTGAATTTAGAAAGTTGCCTATCAATGCTTTACTCCATTTGGTGCAGGAAAACATTTAAGATGATTACTTAGAGCATTTATAAACCCAAATGCAAAATGAAACCAGTAAGGAAGAGATACAGAGCATGGCTTTTGAATTTTCTTCCCAGCTCTTTAATAGCACCTTCATTCTAGTTCAGTGTGATCAGGAGGGAGGGGGACTTAAAAATGGAGAAGTTGACAATATTCTTGATTACTGCCCAACTATCTCTTCCATAGGGAAGCATTGTTTTTTTTTTCTGGATTCCCCCCCCCCCATAACTATAAACTAGATCTGGAAGTTTTGAACTTAGTCTTTCTTTTTTCAGCTTCTCTCTCTGTACTGAACCATTCTGGGTTTGGAGAGTTATCTCACTGACAAACTGAGTCTTGGACCCTTTACATAAATTCTTTTCAATTTTTGTTAGATTGGAAAAAATAGAAAAATTGAAAAAATAAAGTAGCTGCATACAGTATGTATTGTAAAATTTGCATTTGCCATATGGACTGTTGTTTATTGATCATACTATACTTATCCAGTGTAGGAGATTCCCCAAGCACAGACCATACAGTTATTATTCATTGCACACTGTTGTATATTCATGGTAGAACAGAGCGGAGATGGTGATGGCTGTGATTATATATCCTATGCTTTTCTTTTGTAAGAATCCTTTATTTTGGTGCTTTGTCCTCAAGGAACTGGAGATGCAAGCTCGAGTCCATGGGTTGCCAACCTCTTCACCCTCTGATATGAACATGGCTGAACTAGCTCAGCATATGGTGAAGCAAGAAACTTCTGGAGAGGAGGGGACAGCAGAGCTCTTACAGCAAACGCAACTCCAAGCTGAACCGGAAGCTCAGCATCAGCCTCACTTTGCTCCTCCTCCTCCTCCTCCTCCTCCTCAGTCTCCCTACCACCAACTGAACTTTACCCATAGCCTGAGCTTTGATGACAGTTGTAGAGGTTTTCATGACCCGCTGGACCCTAGCCAAAATGTCTCTTTTCCCTCCTTGTCCAAGAAGGAGTTAGACTTGATGCTAATGGAGGATACTATGCTTCCTGTGGCTTCTGACCCCCTGTTTTCTACTGTGTCCCCAGAGGCTTCAAAGGCTAGCAGTCGGAGAAGCAGCTTCAGCATGGAAGACACTGATATGCTGTGAAGAGAAGCCCTCCAAACAGATTAGGAATTCAATATGGTTTATTTGTGAAGTGAAAATTTCTTCATTTGACTTATCTGTTTAGACTTCCTCAAAGACTTATGAGGTTAATAAGAAATGGATCCTGAATCAGAGATGGTTTGTGTTCTGGTGGGAATGGGAGAATCTTTAGCACAAAGGATTGTCCATAGTTCTTGAAATTTTAATCCTTGACTTTCTCCTCTGCCTTGATTTGCCAAAAGTGAACAATCTGTCCTCATCTTCCATGATTGCACAATTAATATGGTCAGTCTGATTACTGCAGACCTCTCCTGTGCCCTGTGCTCTTCATACTCCAGCCCCACAAAGCCAGTTAGAATATTTTCACAACAATATGATTGTGAACAACCTTGGACATCAAGGTAGCTGTGTACCCTTTTTTTGACAAGCAGTTTTAATAAAGATTTGGCATTCATATGTCCAGTAAATAGCTTAAGGTCAACTGTGTCTGTTCCCACCTTTTGATCTATTATCAACAGGCCAGTGGGAATGTCTTCTTCAGGTGTGCTTTCATATTGGACTTTTTTTGGTATTGAACAGGAACACTCAATACGTTCTGTAGTGGGTGGGGAAGTCACTAGTTAACTCTGAGTAGTGATGGATGGTGATTTTTTAATCCTTTGAGAAAGGAAGAAAGTATAATAACATTCACAGAACCTTTTTAATGTTTTCAGTTTCAATTAAGGCTGGGATACAACAGCCTTAATTAATGACTTGCACTTTGTTAACCTTGATGGTTGTTAGCCTAAATTTTGGCTTGGGCCTCCCCACTGCTTTTCTGAATCTTTTTTTGTTATCAATCCTTGACAGCTTAATGGCCATACAGGAATAGAAATGTATGAGCATCTGAAGGCATTTGAACAGCTTTTACTGCCACCAGTCATTCAAGAGACTGGGCAAATTGTTTTGCTAATTTGAAGTAGATTTTACTTCTCTTTTTGTTGGTTTTTGCTTTTCAATGGAAGATGTGGGTGCTCTGATAGGTTGGTAGTGTTTTTGTGTTTGAGAAGTATCAAATGATATTATTTGATTTATATTAAGCTTGTTAGTCTATTCTGTTCCTCTTGAACTTCCAGCTTGTATGATTTAAGGTCCTATTGCTTTGTTTCTGAATTTAGAACTGTGGAGAAACATAGATGAATGTATACTTTAAGTCTAAAGTCCACTTAGAATGATTATTGAAGGGTTTAAAGTAGAGCAGTCATAGCTCAGTAGTAAAACACAAAGGATACATGCATAAGGTCCCAGGTTTCATTACCAGTATTTCCAAATAAATTTATCTTGTAAAGATAGCAGAATTGGAGATCCAATATAAATCAAAGCAGGTGAGACTTAGGCCACATCCACGCAGCTGCTTTGCCCTTTCATTTTGCACCAAAACCAGCAGTAAATCTTGCTGTCTTAATTCTTGCTGTTCCCACAGCATACCCTTATACTGCACACAGAACAGTTTCTGCTACACTGCTGACACATAGCAGTTTATTCTAAAGGCTGTCATTGATGGTTCTGAAATTCCAGTCCTGACCAGTTTCATCAATTGAGAAATGCCCTCCTCTTGACATGCACGATATTCTGTTTACTTCATGTGCTGATTTTTTCCCCTTTTTTCTTATCACACTCTTGACTGAATGAACATTTCTGTATTTCTTGAAATTATGGATGGGTGGTTCAACTATCAACCACTAGATGACAGTGGTAAAGAATTTTTGTATTGCTTGGCTGCCACCGAGTGATTGCCCAGATTGTGCAACTACTGGGCCAATGCAGTTGAAACATTAAAGTCTGAGAAAGATATTTTGTTATAGGGATTGGCATAGGAGCTGCATACTATCCAACTAACAGTATGTTAGAAGCCAGGTCTCCTAAGAACAAAAGACACTGGAAACAGAATTCCATCCTAGGCAGGCTACAGAGACACAAGCGGAGGATCCTTTCAGTTGCACTTCTAAGATATCATGTGCATCATGTATCTTATATAACTTGCACATAGTATTCAGAAGCAGAATAGAAGGGAAAACATCATTTTCAGAATGGAGTAGCTAAAGTCATCTTCAGGTTGCCTCACCCTCAGGTGGGCAATGAGACCCAGATAGTGACATATGGACATGTTTTATGGGAACAAGAATGGCTTTAGGTTAAGGCCAAGTAAGCACTGGCCAAGGATGCCAAAGCACACCAATGTTATCCGTCCTTCCCAATTACCCTGAAAATGCAAATCTTTGTGTTAATAACAGGAGATACCATCCATCAGTGCGTCTTGGAGTATATGCCCTTGAGCTAGCCCTGTTGAAATGATTAGTGAGCTATCTCTAGAGGCTCTAGGACAGGGGTGTCAAACTGCCGGCCCACGGGCTGGATGCATCATGTCGAAACTGCACCCACTCCATGGAAAAAAAGTTGTGATACATCGCGACACGTCACGTGATGTTATGAGTTTGACACCCCTGCTTTAGGGAATGGCATTGAAGGAAAGGAGGAAGAACTGCTATAAAGGTAACGGGCTTGAGCCTGGGCCAAGAAAATAACTCGAGAAAGTATCTCAGACAAGCCCCTATGTAGTTCATATGAAGATAAAATGAGGGAGAAGAAACACATTCAGACTTGCAAGAGTCTCTTATAAAAGATCTGGCAATAAAAATAGTCCTGACCTATATTGCTTTGGTTTCTTAGTCTGGTCTCCCTTATTGGGCTGATGCTGTGCTTGCATCAAAACAAGGATACTATGTTGATTTGTTCCTAGAACTGCTAGACTAACAATCTCAGTGTGTCCTGTCTCCTAGAGTGTGGTGTTTGTAGCCTTTTAGTATACTTTTTGCACAGTCAAAACTTTCTCATTGACGGTTTAGTTATCATAGCAACTGTTGCAATTCTTTTGTTTCTTGGTCTGCATTTAATAGAAATAAAGAGAGTGGATACTTTGATTCAAGAAGGAACAGTATGATGGGAAAACCAAGTTTTTTTGGGGGGGAAGATTTATTATATTGTTATTATGGTTAGTCACACAGCCAGATATTTACACTGGATTTGGCATTCTTATCCATTTGTTCAGTTTATTATTATTTTATTCTTTGGAGTTTGTACACTCCGCTGCTATGTATCTCCAACATGTGCAATCTCATCTAAATATGTATCTCTAGCCTTTTAGGGATGGATGGATGGATGGAGAGCTAGATATTTAAATGAGTACATAAGTGCAGCAGAAAAAATATATAGCCTCCAAAAAATGAAAATATTATCTTCATCTTGGAAATTAACCAAATGCTATCAGCTAGGAAAAAACAACTGCAGAATCAATTGTCACTAATTCCATTATAAACAAAATCTAACATGTGCTTATGTGATGGTTGCAAGCAGGTTTCATGTAGCAGTCACAATCTGACAGGAGGGAAGTTCAAATGTAATGTCAGAAAGTATTCACAGAAAGAATAGTGGAAGCTTGGAACCAACTTCCTGTGGAGGTAGTGGGTCAGTTATCAGTAACTGAGTTTAAACATGCTTGGGATAAATACATGTCCATCATCTGTCAAAAATTAAAAAAAAATTAAAAACTCAAAGGGCAGACTCGATGGACCACTAGGTCTTTCTCTGCCATCAGTTTTCTATATTTTTAACACATTGCATGCAGTGGAGGGGGAGAAAGGAGAGTCTATCATTTTAACTGAGGAATACCTTTTTTTGCCAATAACATAATTTAAGAGAGGACGTGATGACCCATGTGACTGGAGCATTTTCAGTTCTGTGGGTTTGGATAGTATCAGTGATAATGTTGCATTAAAATATCCGTGTTGTGAAAATATTTAAGCTTTTTTATGCCAAAGCATTTTCTATAAAGCTATGCAAGATTGCCATTTGTTCTGTTATTTCTTTTCTAATGTACTTTAGTTTTAATCCAGAATATCTAAGGCTAGGACGCCCATGCTTCCGTGTGGCCAACTGTGAAATAGGCCTTCATGTGACGTTTCGGAACCTTTGGTAACCGAGAAAGCAGTGAGTGGGGTACACTTAGAACTTCAGAGACTTTGATCAACAGATTTGAGATAAGGTGCAACTTTACTCTGTGGAGGAATTTTCCTATGGTATATTGTGGCAGTCATGCAGCCTTCCTCAATGTGATGTCTTCAGGCTATGCTAAGTTAACAAACCCTTCAATTCTCATCCAGTATGACTACAGCAAGCAGTTTGGGGAAGCCTGCTTACGTAGTATAGGCATCTCTTGGGAGCATATCAAATCTTCTTCCTCTCTATACCTCATTTTAGTATATTTTCCTTCCTTAAGGTCCTGCACATCAATTTGCAACCAATCCATCTTCTAAGATACATTTCAGTTACTCTACAACAGGGGTTTGCAACCTTGACAACTTTAAGACTTGTGGACTTCAGCTCCCAGAATTCCTCAGCCAGCATACTAGCTGAGGAATTCTGGAAGCTGAAGTCCACAAGTCTTAAAGTTGTCAAGGTTGCAGACCCCTGCTATACACAATAAGGCTGTTTCTTACTGTATAGCACCAAGGATTCCACAAGACTTACTACTTCTCTTCATTAAGGAAGACTTTAGGAAGGAGTTTAGGAGTTGGATTGGTAATGATTAGCACAGTTTTAGTTATATAGGAAGACATGTGTTCAGTCATATGGCACCAAATTCAATTTAATTTTAGATTTTTTTTGCACCTTGATACTGGTGGTGGCACAATTGGAAGTTCATTACTGTATAAGGAAATATCAGAATCAGAATAACAGAGTTGGAAGGGACCTTGGAGGTCGTCTAATCCCCCTGCTCAAGCAAGAGAACCTATAGCATTTCAGTCAAATGGCTGTCCAGTCTCTTCTTGAAAATCTCCTGTGATGGAATATTATATTTATATATGTATTGTATTATATTATAATATAATATATAATATATTATAATTATAATATAATATTATAATATATTATATATATATATATATATATATATATATATATATATATATATATATATATATATATATAATATTCTGAGGTTTTCGCAGGTGTTTGTATGTAGGTCTTTGGTTATTCGGATTTTCTTCCACATCAAATTGGAAGTGTCTTGGCGACGTTTCGATGAAGTCTCATTCGTCATCTTCAGGCTGGTGTTTTCGGCTTCGTGCTTCTCTCCAAGATGACGAATGAGACTTCGTCGAAACGTCGGCAAGACACTTCCAATTTGACGCGGGAGAAAACCCGAATAACCAAAGACCAAAACCCGAATAACCAAAGACCTATATATAACATATATAAACACACACAGTTTATTGACAAGGAATGTGTTGGAATCATTAAAAAAAGGATAACTAGATCGTGTTCTAGGCTTTCAATGCCAGGATCTCTATGTTCCATTGTGTGCTAACAGATTCAGATATTTAAAAGTATATCTCATAGAAATTCTGCTATAAGTTTATATGAAGTGCTCATGGAAATTCTGCTATAAGTTTATATGAAGTGCTCATTCTATAAATCCACTGTAGATCCTCTGAGAGGCTGTGTTTGTATAATTTTGAGCTAGACGGGAATAGTGTAAAGATCTAACAAATAGACAAATAGCACCATTTTTATAACAAGATGTATGGCAAATTGGATGGATCTATTTAGTGCCTATGTACAGTGTAGTACATCCTTGGAGCTTTGTGCCCACTGCCTATGAAAGTAAGTTAATTTATGCAGGATAACAGAAGTTTAGAATTAGTTTTATTAAGTAATATAATGCATATTTCAGTCAGCTCAATCATCATAAGCAACACTGTGTGAATTTGTACTGGAATATTTTTTCATACAAGGAATGTACTAAAAGATATATTGTTGTACTTCTAATTCATATCAGAAGTATTTTTTTTAAAAAAAGTGAATAAGAAAATTGAATAACTTATTGAAAGTGGTTTGGGATTTTTGCAGTTGACTGCAAGTACTCTATTTTAGTATTTCATGATGCATTGGGTCATCCTTTCAGAGATACTTGCTTACCTAAACAGAGAAACATCATGACCATAGGTGGGCAAAAAAGCAGAGGAAACAGAAAAGATTTCCAACTTCCTGCCTGTTTCCTCACTGATGTTATAAAAAGCTGGAAACCACTCCTTCTTCTCCTTGGCTGACCTTCAGAATTGTCTGCCACTCTGCTGGGGGAGAGGGATAACCAGTGCTTTTTTTCTAAAAAAAAAAAAAAAAAAGGTGCCGTAACTCAGACACGTCATACAATCTGCCTTACCTACCCTACAAGGTTCCATTCAAAAAAGGTGCTGGAACTCTGTTCTGGGCGTTCTATAAGAAAAAAAGCCCTGGGGATAACAAAAGGAGTTCCAGACCATGAGGAAACCTGTACCTCTGTTCCCCATTCCAAAGGGTCTCCTCTCTCCAGGGAGGAAGAGGGCGCCCCTGTTGATTGCCAATGCCTTTCAGTCAGCCCTATCTTGCCAGCAGCATCCAAATCACTCCCTCCTCCCTTGCCAGCTTCTATTTTCAAATTTTAGCCTGGGTTCCAAAGCAGCCAATTGCCACTTGCCTGTTGGCCCTTGCCAGCCCTTGCCACGGGATGCCAGCTCTCTCATCTTCCCTTGTACCATACAACCTTCAAGTTTCTGCTAAGTGTGGTTGGAAGGCATAATGGTGCTGAAGCAGCCATAACTTCCCCAAATTTCATTCCAATAGTATTCATGAGTCCTGGCATTCTGTAATTTAAATTACCTTGGTTCAATAATTTGAATTGTCTTGGTTCAATAATTGTTGCCCTATATCTTCCAGTTTTGCCCAATTGGAACTTGCATACAAACAGACACAAGAGTTTTAGTAGTATATAGATGTTATGAGGTGCTTCTGCAGATACATTATGTAATTATGTAAACAGGTATTGTGCAGTGTGTGTCACTGATTTCCAAGATTCATTGCTCAGAAGACCTTAATCCTCAGGATTAAAAACTGTTTGTAACTCCTCCTTGTACAAGTCATCATTATGTCATAATTGACATAATTTGTGAAACAAAACATTAAAACCTAGGTCAAAGATTTGTATATGTTCTGTTCCCATACCGCTAGGCTAGCATGCAACATCAGGAAGTACAGTATATACTTTGAGTATATGCTCTTGTTGTGTTAGAAATCAGAAGGACAGATATAATATAAACAGATGACAAGCATATTGTGTGCAGATCCTAACTGGAGTGGAGAGAATATTTTTCACTTTGAGAATTGGGAGGGGGGAATCCTTATATGAGAATTAATCATACTTTTTGTTGTTAAAAAAAAGTTACTTTAAGAAAAAGGAAAAGAAAAATGCACTGTGCTCTGATTCTGAAATGTTACTACTGTTTTATAAATAAATGTTTAACGTAATGGACTGGAACAGAGGTGAAACAATCATTAAATTTATTTATTTAATATCAATTGATATATTATTTGCCTGCTTTGGAACTGGAGGTGCTCATTAATGCATTAATACCACTTCTATTATAAATTTGCTTCTTACCACTGAAAGATAATATCCCATGTGGTGTGTGGAAAATGGTACCTTTTGTAAACATATCTTTCCAATGATTTCGGTTTTCTTTGCCTGTCACAAAAATAACATGGAAGAGAAAAGTGGTATTATTTGTAATAAATCCTGAATAGAACTATATTGTTATCCCTAAATTCTGCTGTTTTAGAAAAAAGCAGTACTTGAACAATGAACTTATTTTGGTCTGAGAAAAGGTCTGAGAACCATTCTATTGTTGAAAAACTGAGTAAAGAATGTTTCAATTACAGCAAGCATCTTTTGCTTTAAAAATACTGTACTTTTCTTGTTTTTTGACACTTATCAAACTATATACTTTGTCTAATGAAAAAGGCCAAACAAATATTCTGGTCAACTTTCAGTATTTTTCAGCTGGAAAATATTTCAATATTCTATCAACCCTAAGGGGAAGGGGAGATTACATTGTGGTTCAAAGACTGAGGATAAATGTGTCATTTTCAATTTTATACTTAACCACATCCTATTGCTGTGCATCTCTTTGTATGAGAGGCTGTTCATTTTAGTCAAGGAGGCAATCATTAAGATGATCTTCTTATACTAAGTGGCAATGTGAAAATCATTTTAAAAACCAAAGCCAGGGAAAAAAAGTCCTTTATACCTATAACTGTTATAGTGGTTAAAAAATTGGGCCTAGTCTAGGGGAACCTTGATTCAATGCAGCCATAATCATGGAAACTTGATGACTTTGAACTAATGATCCTGTTAGCCCAATCTCCTAGAGTAGGTGCTGTAGAGATAAATCAAAATCCTCACTTCAAATCTAACAAATAAAAAAAACATGGTAAATCTACCTTGAGCCACCTTCAAAATGGTACTTATCCTGTGAGTTCCCTTCTTTCCATTTTCCAGGACCACCAACTGATCAGACTGACTCAGCTCACTGTTAATAGCAGCTGGAAACCAATGACCTGCAATGAACATTCAGGGAGAAGAAGAGCTGTTCCTCTCCTGGTGTTTGGCTTATGATTGATGGAATAGCAGGAAGCCAGCAAAGGACAAAGATCC